TTTTGTTTCCAAGAGTATTATTTAATGTGTGAGGGGAAATTTTGCTGCTTAGATATTCTTCCATAAACTTTTTTGCCACACTCATGAAATTCAATCCAAAAAGATGTTGACTAAATCTTTCCTTTTCTTAAAAAAAGAATTCTGTGAGAGAAAAAAAATAAGCTTATTTAATCATAGATATTGAACCAGATGTTACTCCTTGACATCAGATTCAATTTCGCATGATAACAAGCAATAACATCCATTTCGACAGTAGCTTTTATTGATCCATCTCAATCATTCTAAGAAGCTGAACTTTTAACATCCCTAGCAACAACAAATGCAACGCCCTCATGCAACTTCTAGGATCCAATCCCTTGGTCCTTCACCCACTTAATGTATTTCAGATTCATCCACTTGTACTCTTTGCTCTCGAGTTTCTACCTCAAAAGTCGAAACCACTAATTGTAATAGCATTGAATTTGTGAATGTCTTCCGTATCTTAATGGAATAACAAATTGTACTGTAAACCGACTGATATACTTAAGACTCAAACAGATACGGAACCATAAAAAGAATGAAAAATAGATAAAACAAAAAAAATACACTACCTCAAAAGTAGCAACTTGCCCCCCATTGCAAGCCAACTCCTGCTCAGTTTCTGAAACCAACATAAGCTTTCTTTCTTCAACTATTTTGCTCATTTCTGTTACCAATGTGACATGCTTTGAGACATTCCCATGCATTTTTCTGTACTCGGGATAATTATCTACAAATTTGGCCATGTCTTCTGCATATTATTGAAATCATAAAAATTTAATGATCTAACTCGTAATAAAGTTATAATCAAAAAAAAAAATTACAAATCAATCTGAAATATTAAATTTTGTCTGATACGAACCTATTGTCTGTATATTTTGGTTGCTTTTAGCAACTTGCTGAAAATCATCCACCATTCGCTTGATGTTCATTCCAATATCTCCAAGGTTTTCATACATGTTAGCTTTGAAGAAAACATCTTGTTCTGATGAAAGCACTACTTCCTGAAAGCATGGGGACACAAAGATAAACCACAGTAATATTAAAACAAATATGTCTAGCAAAAAGAACACGCAATCAACCTGTTGATCTTTGGGGAATTTTCCAATGCTTCTCAAATCAACTTTGTTATCCTGAATACCTATCAACTCATGTACCATTGCCTACAAAAAATAATTCAGTAAATGTTTTTACCCATGTGAAAGTAACAGGATGCATCCTTTACCTTTAAGAAGTTGCTACAAATGAGTCATAACAGGTACCTGATAGGACCATTGGTTCAGTAATGGAGTCACAGGATCATCCCTTCTGTCAACTATCAGCAACAATGGAGACATTTCCATCCGTCTGAAATCAAAAAGACCACTTTCTTGCTGGTACATTAGTTTCTGTCAGATACACAGAACACGATAAGGAAAAATAAGAACCAAATTAGCTCCTTTTCATAACTCCAATTTTCAGGAACAAACTTAAAGCTTCTTACCCATGCCAAAACTTTAAAGCTACTCTAAAACATGTAATATATATACATAGACATAAATATTGAAAGAGTCATGACACAATGAATCGAGTACATGCTGGAGCATTTTTATTAGTAAACTCTTGTCAATAGTTGGTAAAACTGTTTGTAATCATTTTAGTGTTGCCATTTTACTTACTGCTGCTTCATGTGCAATCCTTTTTGCAATATCAGAGGTCCTCGAATATCTAATAATTGGCCTTCGTTTTAACGCCAAGAAAACTGCACCAATACCATCAACAGCTCGGTCACAGAAGTTCTGCAAATTAGAAGGGTCCAAAACTGCTGGGAGAATGTAACAGTGATTTGAGGGCATGTTTAAAGTGAAGTGGTAAGGATCGATTGCAATGAAGTCGGCATAAAACTCCTGCAAGATTAAAGTGGCAACTATATAAGGGTAAAACTTTGAAACTCTGATGAAAAGGTATAGGGTATCTCTAAAATATTATTAAAATGCAATAATAGCAAAAGCGATGTATGAAAAGGACTGTGCTATTAAGGAAAACTCAGATATAGACAGGTCAACTGGAATATAAACATAGAATCTTCAAGCTAGCATAACAATTACTAAACCATCAATGTCAGTAATGTATCATTTATAATTATTGACATAAAGCAAAAAAAGTTCCCACAGATAATTAGATCAAACCACTACTAGAATGGCCTTTTTTATGAAGTTACAAAATACAAAGTTAGTTTCTCTTGGAGAAAATAAAGTCCTCAATTTTTTCAATCAAGCAATGTGCCTCGCAATTTCAATCTATGGCCTTAGCATCCAGAGATCTCACCAAACCATAGGAGATGGCCCTCTTTCTGCATCTTCTAGCAGATTGTTATATGATAGTTTTTTTTCACCCATCTATGCGCAAATTCTAGACTCCGTAGTTTTAATGTTCTTACTGTTAAATAAAGAGCCAGATAAAGAACTGCAAACTATACAATTCGGTAAAAAAGAAAAAAAAATAACATCAGTGTATTATATGTACCTGGACTTGCTGGACAACTTCTTGTTCATCTGAATCAGCTAAAAGATGAATCTGAGTGTCCTTCAACATGTTTGAAAAAACTGCAAAATCCAATGATGTGAGGACCACAAGAAAAACATCTAAGACGGGCAATAAGACAATTTGCCATATTTCAGTAAAATAAAATTATAGCCACATCAAATATTGAAAGATACAAAGAACTTACACAAGTGATACTCTCCAAACCTAGGATTAGATAGTTGACGCCGCATGTACTGAATATTTTCCGATGTAGGCCGTAGGAAATAAACTGCCTTGAGATGCGACATAGATTCTTTTGACTTGGAAATGGAATCTATCAATTCTACCAAAAATACCTCTTTCTGAAGTAGCTCTGATTGTGAATAAACAACACTCACAATGCTAACCTGTGCCTCAAAAAACAGAATAAATTACCTACAATCAAAATCACATTTATCTTTTCCCTTTTAAAAGACTCATTTATTGCCATTAAGGATTATGCTTGTCCCATACATATCCATATATATTAGGGGAAAAGAAAACCGTAAAATCTAATATTCAATTTCCATAACAAAAATGATATGCAAACATAAATATTGTAACACAGCATTTGATTTGCAACTCATGTGCATAATAGTTGACCTTTGGAAGTTGGAAATTGGAACAAAAAGAATTAGAAAAATCACTAAAGACCCCAGGACATATCAAGATATCTGTCGAGGGAAAGAGGTCATCTCTACCAAATGTTTGGATGGAAGGAGGAGGAGGAAGAGGGAACCATGCCTCCTTTTACACCTTCCTTTCATTTTCCTTCTTTACAATTTTAGTCTTGAGCAAAGCAAAAAATAGGAACTGTAGAATCCCTCTTCCTCTCTTCTACACTCCCTCCATTGCCATCCAAGTTCTTAGACTAAACTACAACATGGACTTCAAACAAGAACAAAAGATAGATGATCCTTAAGCAGTTCGCTATCAATATCATCAATTCTAAACCAAGGCAGTCGAAAGATGGAGAGGTTGAAAACATCAACAAGCATTTTAATACATGCGTACCATCATGGCAACCGTGTTTGCTTCCCGACTTATATGTAAATCCTTAAACCAGCTACAGAAAATTGAAAAGAGCTCCTCCAACTACTTCATTCCACAAAAACTTATCAAATCCGGAGATTCCTATCCTAAGGTCATAACAATTTTCCCGACTAATCTATTTCCAATTGAAGTGATCTTATATTTGGAATTAATGACAAAATCGAAAACAACAAGATATAAATTATTCAGATAAAAATGAAGGTAAATACGAATCGAAACCAGAAAATTAGATTACCGTTTGAGAATCAAGAATGAGAACTTTCATGCCGGAGATGTCTTGTAACATCCGATTAACGTAATCCCGTACGGCCGAAACCAGCACCATCTTCGAGCCGGCTCTTAAGGATCGACGGCTGTGAGTGGAGATCTAGTAAAAGGAGACCAGATCTGCTTCAGGCTTAAGCGTAGGCCGTTGAGGGCAATATATTTCAAGGAGGACGGATTGCAACGCAGCGTTCTTATATTATTTGTTTATTATCGAAAACATGTTTAGTTGTGTGAGTTTCTTATTGTTATTTTAAAATTTATAAGTTAATTTTATTGTTTTTATTAAGTTTTTGTATTAATTTATTTAAAATTTTGATCTTTCTATTAATTTTCATCCAATTTTATTCTTGATTATTACTTTGAAAATTAAAATAAATTAATTAATATTTTAATAATTATCATTTTTCAATAAAAAATAATATCATTTTTAATATTCAAAAAGTAAATAAATTTTAAAAAATTAAAAATAAATAAAATTATGAGATTAAGGATTTTAAAAATGTATTAAAATTTATCTAATAAATTATTAATTAAAAGGCTAAAATCAACTTTAAAAGGGTAATATATAGATGATACATTTCTTATCATATGGATTATACATCCGATGACTACTAAACTATAAACCAAAAGAGAATTTATTGAATATTTTCAGCGATAAAAATAAATATTGTTCTCCTAAAATTTTCATAATATAAAGAAAAAATAGTTAAGTATTTTACATTGCATGATGACAATGAGTTAATTCATATTTTAAAATTATTAGGAATCTATTAAGCGACCTCAGTGATAAAATAAAGTGATTTTCTTCTTAGAGGTCTTGAGTTCGATTAGTTATATCTACAGAGTACGTTTGCATTATCAATAAATAAGAAATATTTTGAACATGTACTACTTTATAATTACTTCAGACTAATAAAAAAACATTGTAAAAGGAATAATAAATGCCCCTCTTGGTAATGTACAGTAATGTACAAGCTCGTTACTAAAATCATTGACAGAATAAAATGTGTTATGCCCCTCTTGGTGAGCCCCAATCAAACCAGTTTCATTGTTGGTCGTTCCATAACGGAGAATATTATTATCAACCAAGAAATCATCCACTCAATGAGCTTGTTAAGAAGCAAGCAAGGTTGGATGGCGATCAAAGTCGATCTTGAAAAAGCCTTCGATGGGATTTCATCCATGATACTCTTAATGAAGCTGGTCTTCCTCGCAATATTGTACGGATCATAATGCATTGCCTCACCTCTTCTACTATTCAGATTCAATGGAATGGCACTACCTCCACCCCTTTCCGGCCTGAAAGAGGTGTCTGTCAGGGTGACCTTCCCTCGTCGTATCTTTTCGTTCTAGCTATGGAACACTTGGGACATAGCATTCAACACTATGTAAACTCAAAATTTTGGAAGGGATTCATCTTAGCTCGTAATGGTACTCAGATTTCTCATCTTTTTTTGCGGACGATTTAATGTTTTATGCTAAAGCGGACCTCTCCCATGCAGCCGTCATCGACAATGTTCTTGAAGGGTTTGGGTATTACTCGGGACATAGGGTCAACAAAAGGAAATCTCATGTGTACTTCTCTCCGGATACCCCTGTGGATGTGAGGTACTCTATTTGCTCTACTCTGGGAATTCAAGAAGTAGAGAGCTTTGATAAATATCTTGGGGGCCTGGTGTTCATAGTTTGTGTAGGTGTTGCTCACTTCAATTTTATCACTGACAAATTCCATGACAAGCTCAATGGTTGGGCTGCTCGTACACTCTCATTGGCAGGGAGAATCACCTTGGCGAAATCCATTTTATCTGCCTTGCCGATCTATTTTATCCAAGTAACGACCTTCCCTCTAAAGGTTTGTGCCGAATAGAGCTCCACATAAGATGTTTCATCTAGGGATCCTCGGCGAATAACACAAAGGTATCATTGGTTCGTTGGGATGTGGTCTGCCAACCAACTGATCGTAGGGGTCTCTGCATTATTTGTCCTTCAATTCAAAATAAAGCTCTTCTTATGAAGTTAGGGTTCACCCTTCTCACCAGGAATGACATTTACTGGGTTTCTTTGCTCAAGCAAAAATATCAATTTCTTGATGCCTATCCCAATACAATCGCTTGGCCTCATTGTTCACACCTTTGGCGTGGAATTTCCAAAATCTGGCCTACTCTCACCTCCCTGCTCGCATGGTCGATTGGTAATGGGTCTGTGGTTCGGTTTTGGGAAGATAATTGGGTTCCAACTCTTGGTCTCCTAAGCAGTCAAATTCTCGCTGCTTCCCATATGCATGGTAATTTGAACTTCCATAGCATTTTAACTGCTTCTAGACAATGGGATGAAGAGGCTCTTGCGCAATGTTTCCATCCGCACACTCTTCGCCACATTATCAACGTTCGGCCACCTAGTAGCTCGAACATTGATGACCGTCCCATTTGGCCGTGGTCTAGTAATCTGAGCTTCACCGTCCGATCTGCCTATACCAAGCTCCTTGAAGACCAAAGGGACCCCCGGGACAGCTGTTGGTCTCTTTTTTGGTCGCTCTGTGTCCCACAACAAGTTCGAACCTTCTTTTGGTTAGTTTTCAAAGAGAAGCTTATGACCAATGGTGAACGAGCGAAGCTTCACCGACTGACGATCCTAATTGCCCACTTTGTGATGTTGCCCTAGAGACCGTCACCCATGCTCTCCGAGACTGCTCCCATGCCCGATGCATTTGGAACTAGATTAGTGTTTGTTAAAAAAATTATTGTTCAATTTGACTCGTTATTTGTTAAGTTCGGTTAAATTTTACTTGACTCGTGAGAAAATTTTGTTACCCAACTCGATTCATTGTTCATTAAGCTCACACAATTTTTGAATAAGGTAATTAGGATTTGATTTTTGGATGTAATAAATTAATAATTTATTTTTTCCTTATTGTTTATTAGAAAATTAATAAATTAGTAAATTTGAAGTAATTATTAATTAATAATTTAACATATTTCTTATTGTCTATTTGTAAATTTGTAATTATTTTTTAGACTTCTTATAATGATTTTTTTAAGGTAATTACTAAATATTTATTAAAAAAATTAACTATTTGCTAATGGACTTATCGAATAGAGTTGGATCTTACTCAATTCAACTTGTTAAGGTTTTGGTTTTGAGTTGATCTAGAGCGCGAGTTAAATCAAACCGACTTGAATATTTACCGAGTCAAGTTCAAACAACTCACGAGCTGCTCAATTCATCAAGCATCTATCTTCACTTCCTGACCTGTGTTTGAGACTTCGGTGTAACTAGAATTTAGGCATATGATTAGGGGGGACATGAGACCCAAACCTAAAGATTTCTAATCTGACCCGATCTGATCAAGTCATATTTAAAAAAAATCTGGTTCGGGTCAGGTTGAGTTCGAGTTTATGATGAAAAATATCTGACCCGAAGTGACTCAAAAAAATTATAATTTTACCTTATATATTTAGGAATAATTATAATAATACCCCCTCTATATATAATTTTTTCAATTAAATCCCTATTTTTATTGACTAAAAAATATTTTTAATAAATATATTATTTCGGATCGGATCGGGTCGAATTCAATTTTTATCTCAAAAAAATAGGTGGGATTCAGGTCGACTGGAATGTGTATATCTTTCAAGTCAAATGAAAGATTTATAATTTCTAAATCTGAGCGAATAGACCAAAAATCCGACTTGATCCGACCTGTGCCCATCCCTCCATATGATTTGTTTACTTTATACAACGTTTTCCAGCTCTAATGGCGTCCTTTAAAAGTTTGATTGACACTGCATGTACCGAAAACTCGGAGCTAATCAGTTGGTGCAATATTATATCTATGGCCCAAAATTCTGCAAAATGGGCCCAACTCTGAATGGAAAAGCAGATGATCAAATTCTGGGTTTGACTTTCTTTTCTTTTTATTAATCTAATGTAAGTATTACTAGAGATGGCAGTATGATCTGAACCTGACGGGAAAATCCGAAATCCAGTCAAGTTCGGGTCGGGTTGGATTTGGTGATTTTTTTCGATGATTTTTTCTGATCGGGTTTGGATTCGGGGCAAGGTATCCCCTCCCCTATTATATATATATATATATTTATATTTTTATATTAATTATATATATATATATGTAATATTTTATATATTTTATATTAATTATATATAAAATATTTTCGAGTTTGTGTATAATATTTTGAGTCGGGTTCGGGGACGGGGCAAAAAAAATCCCCGATAGGGCGCCCTGATAAAAAATCTGTCGGAGATCGGGTCGGGGTCGGGGATTTATTTCGACGGGGCGAGCAAAACCCAGCCCGAACCCGACCCGTTGTCATTCCTAAGTATTACACCGTATCTATTCAAAGAAAACATAAAATCATTTGATATTGAAGACTCACACACCTAATATTTTTTATGCTCGAATCTAATACCTTAAATAATAACAATAATTCATTTACTGTCGAGTTCGCTCGGTTCGTGTTTGGTTTTTACGTACCAATTTACAGAATGGGGCAATTATGTATGCCAATACCCACCCTCTCTCTCTCTCCAATGAAGGAGTTGGCTTTATCCTAACGCCAAGTGTTGAACATGAGAATATGTATATTAAAGAAATGCAAAGAGGGAATAAGATACGTAAAAGAATATGCTTTGGTTTTGCGTGAGCATATTTAGGTTCCCTTCCCAAAATGACAATTTCATTGTCACTTGTAGTTTCCCTCCATCTTCCATGAATCTTCTTCAATATGTTTAATTAATTGTGGGATAAACTACACTAATCATATGAACTTTATTCTCTCTCTTATTTCACTCATATATTTTAAATTCATTCAATTTTCTCACTGAATTTAATATAATTAGCATTTTGGTCACTCGACCGTTAAATATTTAACGGTATTTTTGGAAAAACAACTTTTTTACCAGAAAGACGTCATTCTGTATCTATATAATATCTCATTTATAACGTCGTTTAGTGAGAAAACGATTGAATAACAAAAAATGCTAAATGTATTAAATTCAGTGAGAAAATTGAACAGATTTAAAGTACAGTGAGTGAAATGTGAGAAAGAGTAAAGTTCAGTGACGACCGATGTAATTTACCCTTAATAGTTTTGACCTCTCCAAAGGACAGAGATATGAAGAAAAGTTGAACCAA